ATATCTCGCTTGTATAGTTGTAGATCATGGCAAATGAGGCGGATATGAAAAATTTTCCTATCACACCGCAGGCGAGGTTTGCAACACTGTTGCCTGGAACCGCGAAAGAGAGTATCACGACCGTAGAGAGAATCAATAATCGGATTTACCCATGACTCCGCTTAAGATACAGAATATTCCTCCCAGAAGGTACATCGCAATCAGTGAATACTTGCGACCGACATATGCAAATAGCACAATGGCTAGGATATAACTAGGTATATCAACAACGCTGGCTATGGCAAAATTTATGTAGTCGTCTCCGGGCAAGTCGCTAGTGTTTAGTGCTAGACCGTAGTAGGCCATGGTAGTGGCCGCCCTGCAAACAAACAAGCGCAGGTTCTCATTAAGATTGTCGTGTATGTATCAATCTTTCAACTGTACCAGCTAAGCGCCATTGCCATGGTCATTATGAACAATGTCCGGTGCTTAAACACTTCCAGCACGCTGGTAGACGAATGTTCAGGAGTGCATTCACTCTTAAGCACACGTAAATGATGTGACCGTAGTCACCAATGCGAATTCCAAAAAAATACCAGAATATCTTCGATCGCAGCGTTCGGAATATGGACACGATTTACTTTCACTATAGTACGCATAAGCTTCCTGGCTTTCTCCGTCTTGCCCATCGCAACTAACCACCTGAACGATTCCGGCAGTACCCTATTGACATTCATCATAATCTTGTTCATGCCAAGTGTACACAAAATCGTAACAAGCACATTTTTCTTACCATATGAAAATGATATATATGACCATAGGAATTGAGCACGCCCACTGAACCCATCTCCAGTCTCTGCAAAGATAGGCGATTAGTCCCAAATACAGCGCACCAACGGACCAAAACATTTGCATCCCTATACCGGCCACGATGCATGCGTTACCTTCCGCCAGTTCCATAGCTAAGCAAAAGCAGCGGTTAAGTGTAGCGCGCCTTTCAGTATTGAACTTTGAATTGTACGATTGCAAAACTATTTCACGCACTACTTTAATCAAGTACTTTTCCAACATCAAACGAACTGAGAGCAAAATGCAACCTGAATTTCTTCACTAATAACATTGAAATTTATGAAGGGCCAGTGCCCATTCCTGAATACAGACTGTTCTCGTTCGTTTCGCTGTCATGCCCGAATTTAACACGCAAAGAATAAACAAATTATATATGCTCACTTGTGCTTGCAGATACCCTTCTTGTTCCAATAGTTTGTTCATTGTTCTGTAATTGGAGCTGCTCGAAAAATCACTAATTCCCATTTAAAGTTCACTCATTTATTCATTATCATAACCTGCTTTTCCATTGGGACAATGATTGACAGTCTCAAAACCTGTTTCCTGTGGTACTGGTTCTACGCCTCTTTGTAAGTCTTACGGGTTGCACTCCAAAGCTTGACAATGCCAAGTATTCCAGAGTTACCCGGCATTAGGTTTGCTTTGCTTATTGGCAAGTGAAGTTAACCACGAATGCATGCACTACCTAAAAGAAAGAGAAGAATTTGGATTCACCGAACGTCTCAGCAGCATTTAAATAAACATGGACAACAAAACCCATCTTAACGAACTTTAGGGATCACCATTGCGATGGCTTCGAAATGTGAAGAAGATGCCATAGGACAGACTCGAAATGCGAAGTATTTTTTGGCGAAGCAACAGGGAAGACGGCTCAGAAGCAGACCGTGGACCAGGTGAATTGCTTACCGTGGAAACCAACCATTATCGTTCCTACGGAATCCAGACCATTGGGTCTGTCTGTCTGACAATGAAAGGGATCACTGAAACGCCAGCAAGAGCAGACTTCCAGCGATCCAAAAAAATGAAAGAAATTTATAATGACTGAAAATGAGCGAATGAATGGCAAGATCCTTTGCGACGAAACAGCAGGTGCTGTGGGTCAGACCGTTTGTTCGCTTTGCCATTCAGCATACAACGGTCAGACATCTGCACACAATGCCTTAGAGTTGCATCATACGAAAGTGCCAACCGTTGATCGGTTACCTACGACGTAATTTTAAGGAAGTTTCAAAACTATATATAAACACGCTTAATTGATACACGATCAAATGGGTGACTAACCAGCATAAATTCATGTCTAACGGGCCTTTTTTCCGCAGTGGTGGAGAAGCTTGATTTCCGCAGTTCTTTCCGTGATCAACAGCTACTGTGACGTTGGTGCCAGAAGGTATGCCAAAAGGTGTTTTTGACCGGTGCTGCCGGCTTAGTAGCCTCTTGCAAAAGACTTGGCAAGCTTGTCCAATCTGTTACACATTTGTTTAACTTTAAATTTTCGCAGGATTGAATAGTTAATATTTTTTTGATTGGTTTTTCCAGATAGCTTTTTCTTTAATGATGCCCGTGCAATCTGATCAACGGGTGGATGTGATCTTCCTCTGCTGCGTTAACAAATGAATCAAAGAGGCAGCATCATGCAATCATGCAATTCTGCGAAAATGTCAAAGGGGACAAGGGATACGAGCTTTGCAAAAATTGGGAAAGCCTTGACAAGTCTCTTGAAGAAAAACTATTTAAGGAGCAAACACCAAAAAAACTTCCGCTGATGCTGGTCTCAAGCTAGGATAAAAAGAAAGAGGGGCGGGGACACCGTGATACTGTCTCCAGTAAAACGTAATCACCTGTCACTCACGGTATTCAATTCATCGAACATTATACCGACTCGTTCCTCGCTGCTCGGTTGACAAGCACTCTCATACGTTGGTTATCTGAGGCAGACTGCGAAAAATCGGCAATCACGACCAGCTTGTTGCATTTTGGCAGCTGGGGTCGTAGCAGCATGAAGACAGCTATCGAAGATCGACAAAACTACGACGACGATACCTGCCATCAAGAGAGCCGCAAACCGTTCTGCATCGAGGAGGCGGACAGGCGATGCCATTATAGAACGTCACTAAAGGCTCCATGGAAACGACGCCGCCATCAGGAGCTCATAGTCAGCTGTTGAAGTATCTCTTCACTCAGAGGGAAAGAGCAAGAACCAGTTGATGACGCCAAAAGGTACGCACATAATCATCGTAGCTGAACTTTCGTCAGAGAAGCGCCAACGTTCTGGAATTCTGAACATCTGCAGGTGGAAGCCATTCTGCTCAGATGTCGACATCACGACGAGCGCTCAGGCCGGTGTGGGTGCTCTGGTAGAACCCAAACTGGCTGACAGATTCATTGAGTGGAGGCCTGCAGATGCAAGAGTAGCAATCCTCTGACTGAGGCTACAACAGGATAAAGTGTTGACCTTCTTTCAAGTCTGTGCCCAGTTCGGAAAGAGAATATGAGACTTTCCTTGAGGAAGTGCAGTGTGCTCTGTCTGAAGTGCCGAATAAAGAGTCCCTCAT